TTTTTGTGCTGAAACATTTCGCCTTCGGTCCAGAAGGCTTCATCAGTACCTGGATTATTGAGCATGGACTTTGTTGTTTTCAACCAGTTTGACAAGACTGCCAACAAGGAAGAGGGCTGGCAATGAAGGAGGGGGCGTACCAAAGAGACCATCTTATCACAAGCAGAACTGGTTTGTTCCACTTTGGACTAAGCTGTTGGGGGAAGAATCAATTTTGTTGTTTCCTTGACTGATGAAGCCTTCCGGACTGAAGTCGAAACGTTTCAGCACAAAAAAAAAGAAACTATCCAGATGACCTGACTGAAAAATGTTGGATTGTATATCTGGATTATTGAGCATGGACTTTGTTGTTTTAAACCCAATTTAACTTTCAGTTTCCTTACTAGGTTTTCCACGTGAAGCTTAAAGGAAAGATGCGAGTCGACCAAGAAACCCAAATATCTATAAGAATCGATAAACTCAATAGGGACACACCATTTGAGGATAAAATCAGAGGAAGACCTGATGGGACTGACTTCCTGTTTGAAAAAAGCATCCCTTTGGTTTTATCAGCATTTGGGACAAGTTTGAGACAGAGCAAGTCTGACTGGATGACGTCAAAGGCGGATTGCAAAAGCTGGAGAGCCTTAGCAACCGTTTTAGCTCGACAATAAACAACTGTGTCATCAGCATAGAAATGTAAGGATGCATCAGGGATGCTTTGACCTACATTACCTTTGTAGATTGTAAAGAGGGTGGGTCCTAAGACTGAGCCTTGTGGTACACCATTACCGTTGGATAACTGGAGGATATACCATTATGATTGCATGAAAATATGTTACTTTTAAACCAGCAAGTTATGGCCAGAAAGTTACTCAAGCGTATGCTTTGAGGATAACTCTCAGCTACTGCCACACTGAATTTCAGCTCAATCTCAATCTCTGGGACACAGTTTGTTTGTGGCTCCTCAGACTGATAAAGTTCTTAGGATGAGGAAGGAACGTCTCTCAACAAAAAAATAAACCATCCAGATGACCTTACTGAACATTGTTGGATTTTTTACCTGGATTACTGAGCATGAACCTTGAGCTGGTGTGTGGTGTCTCAGGTGTCACCAAATGTTGGGTCAAAATCTTTAAACTTGGCTGTCATATTCAATGTTTTGTGTCTCAGGGTTGCTTTGCCTTGTGACCATCTTGAATGGGTTGACTACAATTTAATGCTTTGTAAATGTCCATACAATGCTTACTTTCTCACAATTTTTAAATAAAAAAAACAATATAGCTTTTTACCTTCAGCAGCAGGTGGTATGCACAAGCAATGGAAAAAAAATGCCATTTTAATTCATAACATTGAGCGCCATAGTTTGAGGTTTCCAAGTAGTTTTTGTTGGTCTATTATTTAAACTTGAGCAGTCTGTGACTGCACAAACACTGTTGGTGTTTTTTGTTTAGTCATGCAGAAAGAAAGGAGTTAATCTCTTCCTCGTTGCTTGTCATTTATAAACTATTTCAGTGTTCATGTTCGTCATGCCATTCTGTCAGGGGAAAAAGGCAAATGTTCAAACTGAGCAGAACAGAGGATAAAAATAGAATTAGGTCTTTTTAAAATGCTTTCAACTGTAATTATTGTGGAACAATTAATCCCAACAAAAACAATGTGGCGATAATTCAAACATAAACCAGTCCAACAAGCATTCATAAAGTGTCTGGAAATTGTGGAAATAGGCGTTTTTCATTACTAGCAGAGTTTGTAAAAAGCTTGCCTTTTTTCATTCATTCATTCAACCTTAATTAATATAGGTTAGTCTTAAAGCTGAAATGTGACCGTTTTCTCATTTTCCCTTACTTATCCGGTTGTCCGAAACTAATTTGCTTTAAACCAGTGGTTGTTCACTCAACTAGTTGTGCAATATATCCAAGTAAATTGTATTTATTTTCTGTTTTGTTGGTTTCCAAACTCATGCTTTATCTTTTATTAGTTCTAACTGTAATATTTAGTGAGACACAAACATATTTGTGTATATATTTATTTATATTGATGGTGTTTAGGGTTTTTATTTGATCTGGAAAAAAGCATCATCCAAGCATCTCATAAAATTATATTAAATATACTGTCAGTCACAAATCTCGTAAATATTTTAGATTTCAGTAAAACTTACTGCCTCATTAATAAATAATAAAAATCTTTAGTGCTTACGCTTTATTTTTTTGCATTCTGAAGGTCAGACTGACAGCTGTTCAGTAGGTTTCTGTGAGTTTGTAGAAATTATCATGAATCAAAAACTGCAGCCACATTTTTTTTTTATCCACAAGGCATTCTATTTGGATGTATCATTTTTTATTTTTGTCTTGCAGCAGACTTGAACCAGTTTTATTTCTTTCTTTCTTCTTTTTTTTTTTTTGGGCCTCTGACTGTTTGTACCAGCCTGAGTTTTTGTGCTGAAGAACTAAAGTAAACAAGTTGTTCTCAGTCCAAATCTACAAGGTCCTACGCCGACATGAGTGACAGATTTCTCACTTGATGTGTTTTTCTTTTGTTGGTTTCTATTTGAACTCCTCGTAGTCTGTGGAGAGGTGCAAGTGTACTCTTTAAGTTATAGATGTGTATCGGTCAAAGTGTTGAAAAACAAGGCCCAACAATATCCTGTCCCAGATTTGAGTGGGCAGCTTCCCATCAGGCTGACCATGGAGGTCTGTTTAGATTTCAGAGCTGATGAAACGTTTTACTTGAAAACAGGAAAAATTATATTTAGGCTCTTAAAGAAGAGTTCTACATGGCAAACTGTTTTTTTTTGTTTGTTTTTTTTATAAAAAAAAACAAAAAACATTAGGTGCAAACTTTTTTTGTTTTAACAGCAAAGAAAAGTGTAAAAGCATATTTTCATTATGTGCACCCTAAAGGTGTTCAATTTGAAAAATCTCTAAAGCGGCATAAGAGCAGCTGTAGATACAGTAAGAGCTCTCTGGATTTCATGCTTTGTCACAATCTGTCTTGAAATATTTGAAGTAATCGGATTACAAGTGTTATTTTTCCTACTAACTTCAACTCTTCTGCTAATCCTGAGGCTTCAGGTTCAAGTTGTGTCAGGAAGGGT